ATATAAACCACTTAAATTGTAATTCGTCTACAAAACAAACACCGAGCTCCGACTTATTTATCGAGAATCTTCGAACCTCTTTCCATTACAAATTCATTGTCGATCTCTCGAATCAATAATTGGCGCGCCAGGTAGGGGGTTTAAGATTTCTCATACGCACAAGTCCATAAGCTCGGCAATGCTCATCCTCCGAGCTAGAAACTAGAAGAGCTCAACTTCATAACTAAACGCAAGAAGAGCTCATTGTTCGAGCTCATCTATACATCGCTTTGAGCTCGTCGGCTCACCATATGGAGCTCGTTAGTCTAAACTTATCGATATGAGTTCAGAGGTCATCAACTCCTCAGTCGTAATGCAGAGCTCCCTAGTTCGCAAGCTAATCACTCCGAGCACGTCAACCCATCATTCTAAGCTTGCCAGTTAGCCAATCTGAGCTCGTTGTTTCGCCATAATGAGCTCGTTTTGCTTGTTACTTCTCAAAGTATGGGCTCGCCAGTTCAACGTAACGAGCTTGTCGGCCCGTCATTTCTTCATACTTCGCTTGTCGGCTAGTCAGTTTATCACCCTGAGTTTCTCAACTCGTTAACTAGTCATTTCAAGCTCGCCAGTATGAGCTCGCTCCTTCGCCGGTATGAGCTCGTCACCACGTTGGTTCATCGTAATGAGCTTCTCAGCTCGTCTGTTCTTCATAATGAGCTTCTCAGCTCATTTGTTCATCATAATGAGCTCATCAATTTCAATCATCTCTAGCCGATGGGTCACCTATAGCTTGTTAAATCATTAACTTGTTACCCCACGCTCATAAGCTCGTCGTAATGAGCTTGTCATTTTGATCTTGCCAGTGTATTATTCTGAACTCATTAATTCGCCAATATGAGCTTGTTAACTCGTCTACTTGTCACTTCTTCAGCTTGCGCCCATCTGCTCGTGACTTCTTCAACTCGAGCTCATATACTTGTCACTTCTCCAATAAGCTCATTTGTTCGTCACATTCAGCATGATCTCATTAGCTCGTCGTGAAGTTGAGCTCGTCAGCTCATCAAACGAGCTTCTTAGCTCGTTCAAACCAAGCTCTTCAGCTCGACAAACAGACTCATCAGCTTATTAAAACTAACTTGGACAGCTCATCAAACCGAGCTCGTCAAACAGAGCTCCTCAGCTTGTAAGCCTAACCTTGTCAGCATGTTACCTATCAGCTCGTCAAATTGATTTTGACAGCTTACCACA